CCTTCAGCTTTTAGGTTTTCAACAATTTGTGTTGTTGTTGAATTATAGCTTTAAGCCATGGTGATCCAACACAATACAGAGGATTATTGCAATTTTTTGGTATCTGTAGAGGTTTGCTTTGTTACCAAGTATGTGGTTGATTTTAGAGAATGTTCCATGTGGCACTGAGAAGAACGTATATTCTTTTGTGTTTGGATGTAGTGTTCTATAGCTGTTTGTTAAACCCAATTGGGTATAACAAGAACTTAGAGTCCATAAAGAAAGAAATCAAAGAAAATACCAGGAAATGGAAAGATCTCCCATGGTCTTGGATAGGTAAAAATGGCAATCTTACAAAAAGCAATCTACAGATTCAAAAATCCTAGCAAAATTCACAGACCTTGAAAGAACAGTACTCAACTTTATATGGAAAAACAAAAAACAGATAGCCAAAACAGCCCTGTGCAATAAAGGTACTTCAGGAGGTGTCACCATCCTTGACTTCAAGTTCTACTACAGAATTATAGTTAAGAAAACCATTTTGTATTCACACAAGAGCAGACAGGTAGACAAATGAATGGAAATGAAAACCCTGATATTAATCCATACACCTATGAACACCTGATTTATGTCAGAGAATCTAAAATTATACAATGGACAAAAGAAAGCATTTTCAACTAATGTTGTTGGCATAACTGGATACTGATATGTAGGTAAGACAGATAGATCCTTATCTATTGCCATGCACAAAACCTAAGTTCAAGTGGATCAAAGACCTCAACATAAATTCAGCCACAATGATCCTCTTAGTGAAAGGTACCATTGAATGAATTGGTACAAGAGATCACTTCATGAACATAACTAAACTAACACAGACACTGAGATAGACAATTAGTAAATGGGAACTCCTAAAACCGAGAAGATTTTATAATGCAAAGGACACAGTCAATAAGACAAAATAGCATCTCACAAAATGGGAAAAGATCTCCAACAACCTCTCATGTGACAGAGGACTGATTTCCAAAGTATACAAAGAACTCATGAAGCTAGTCACCCAAACACAAAATGATCCAATTAAAAAATGGAGTACAGAACTAAATAGTCAATTCAGAAAAGAGGAACATAAAATACCTAAAAGACAACTAAGAAATTGCTCATCATCCTTAGCTATCAGGGAAATGTAAATCAAAACAATTCTGAGATATCATCTTACACCAGCCATAATGGGTAAAATCAAAATTATCATTGACAGTCTATGCTGGAGAGGATGTGGAGAAAGGGGAACACTCCACCACTGTTGGTGGGAGTGCAAACTTGTCCAGCCAATTTGGAAATCAGTGTGGCAGCTTCTCAGGAAAATGGGAATCAGTCTACTTCAAGATCCAGAAATTCCACTCTTAGGCATATCAGAAAGGATGCACATTCATACAACAAGGACATCTGTACAACTATGTTCATAGCATAATTCTTTGTAATATCCAGGACCTGGAAGCAACATACATGCCCCTCAACTGAAGAGTGGAGAAGGAATATGTGGTAAATTTATACAATGAAATAGTACACAGTGGGAAAAAACCAACAAAATCTTGAAATTTGTAGGCAAATGGATGGAGCTAGAAGAAACCATCCTGAGAGAGGTAACCCAGTCAAAGATAGACTAGCATGGTATGTACTCACTCATATATGGATATTAGACATAGAGCAAAGGACTATCAGCCTACAATCCTCACCTCCAGAGAAACTAGGAAACAAGGAGGACCCTAAGAGAGACATACATG